TAGCATTTACTTCTTCAGGGAAGAGTATGGTGAGGTGAAAGACAATTTTCCTCTTAGGGGAGGAAGAATAGAAGGGGTTTTACCATTGGTGTTTATCTGGAGTAGCACAGATATTGCCAAAAAGATTTCCTCTTGTTAATTTGTCCTTTCCTGGCTAGGGGAAACATGCTTTTGTCAGCCCTTTGTGTGTTTGTGTTTGTACATGCTCACACGTGTGTGCACCTATTGGTGGTTCTAGCCTGGGGGCTTCTGCAGTGTCCTATCCAGGATATATGGACACAATAAGGATACCCAGAAAATTCACCATCATAGCATTCCTTACATCCTGAGGTTCCTAGATTGCCCACATTTTCCCACCTTTAAGTATTTCCCTTTGCTTATCTGTTATGCTATTTCCAGGGTTATTTTAGTTGCAAGACAGTACATGAGAGAAATGAGGCTTCTCTCTCTTGGGTGGGCCCAGAAATCTCTGCTAAGTATCAACAAGACTTTCTAATCCTCATATTATTACCTTTTTGCTGTGATAGACTACATGCTTTTCTTTGAAACTCATTTCTCTGTCAGCATTTACTGCTGTACATTGTGAGTTTCCTCCTATCTTTTGGTCACTTCAAAGTGCCCTTCACAGTTTCCTCTTTGTCAGTAGCTAAGTGCTTCTGTTCTCCAGGATTCTACCCTAACCACTTTCATCTTGCCTCCTCTTCTTTCCCTCCATAGCCTTACCATCAGCCATATGTTGAAAACTCACAAATCATGGTCTCTAGTCTCTAATCCCAGTCCAGTTTCCACTGGAAACCTTCACCTGGTTGTCTCATAAACATCTTGCAACTGTGTTATCTAGAATGTAATTTATTGTTCACATGTGCATGTGCAAATAGATTTTCACCCAAATTGACCCCTTTGTGCATTTCTAGACTTGGTCAATGACCCCATGACCCACCCAGGAATCCCACTCAGAAACATGCCAGTCACCTTGTTTCTCCCTTTATTCTAAACTCCAACACATCACCAAGCTTTGGCCATTCTCCCTACTAAGTAATTCTCAAGTCCATCCTCTTGTCATTGTTCCCTCTGGCAATGGCTAGAGCATTTGTTCAAAATCTCATTCCTGGATGATTCTAATAGTTTTCTAATTGGTCTACCTGTCTTTCTCCATTCCCACAGAGGCTCTAGAGTGATCTTTTCAAAATACAAGTATGATCAAGTTTGCCTGAATCCCTTCCTAATTCCTCATTACCTCTAAAGAATGAATTCTAAACTCTAATTTCTCTAGCTCATCTTCCACAATTTCCTCCGTCCATTTCCAGAATCAGGCTGTGATCTCTCAGACCCCACATTTTCTCCGTGCTTTTGTTCACTGTCCTGTCTGCCTGAAATGTGAAATGTCTTCCTCTCCTTCCCTCACCTTCACCCACCCTACCTAAACCAATCCTACTAGACCTACAAGATTCCAGTCATGTAATCTCTTCAGGGAAAATATTTCCCACTCCTCATTAAAGGTGCTTATCTTCCCTGTTTCTAAAACACCCTATGCTTGTTAAATTGTTGACGTGCTTCTTTGCCTCCCATCTGGGATTTGGGAGAAACTCTGAGGAAGGTTCATTTTCCACCTTGGCATAATATGAATAGAAAACAGAAAGGTGAGTTCCTCCGCCCTTTGACTAGTCATCTTGGAGAAGAAGTGTACCACAGGCCGGGCACGGTGGCTCACACCTGTAATCCCAGCACTTTGGGAGGCCGAGGCGCACAGATCACGAGGTCAGGAGATGAAGACCATCGTGGCTAACACGGTGAAACCCTGTCTCTACTAAAAATACAAAAAATTAGCTGGGGGTGGTGGTGGGCACCTGCAGTCCCAGCTACTTGGGAGGTTAAGGCAGGAGAATGGTGTGAACCCGGGAGGCAGAGCTTGCAGTGAGCTGAGATTGTGCCACTGCACTCCAGCCTGGGCGACAGAGCCAGACTCCGTCTCAAAAAAAAAAAAAAGAACAAGTGTACTACAGTGGTCAAGAGCACTGACCTGGAGCAGAACAGTTGGGTTCAAATCCTGGCTTTGCTACTTACCAGTTTTGTGACATTTATCAGTGTCCCCCCATCTGTAACATAGGCATAACATTATCTTTTTTATTGGATAGTTGTGAGGATTAAAGTAAGAGCATGTCAATGTAGAAAGATTATATACATTCTATAGTTCGAAAACTTTGGCATGTAGATTATAAATATTTGCTATCTTAAAATATTTTTATTTGGGGGCAGGACTTTGAGCTGCTCCACCCCACTCCCACCTCCTGCTGCCCACGAAAGAATCAGAACCACTGCTGGGCAGGGTGGCTCATGCTGGAATCCCAGCACTTTGGGAGGCTGAGGCAGGCAGATTGCTTGAGCCCAGGATTTTCAGACCAGCCTGGGCAACATGGAGAAACCCCATCTCTACAAAAAATACAAAAGGTAGCCAGGCATGGTGGCTGTAATCCCAGCTACTTGGGAGGCAGAGGTGGCAGGATTGCTTGAGCCTGGGAGGTGGAGGCTGCAGTGAGCCAAGACTGTGCCACTGCACTTCAGCCTGGGCAACAAGGTGAGACCCTGTCTCTGAATGAATGAATGGATGAATGAATGAATGAATGAATGAATGAATCAGAACTACAAGAAAACCTGCTAATCTCTCCACATTGTCCCGAGCCCATTAATTTCCCAGCTGTTTTGTGGCCTGAAGCTTCCAGCCACCACAGAAACCAAGATATGCCAGACAATGGTTCCTCCCAGTTAAAGTATGGCAGATTTTCAGAAGTTTTTTGTAAAACCAAAGCACATGGTGGTCATTTCAGGGGCTAGTGTTAGTGAGGTAAGTGGGGTTCCACTTCAAACAAGCTGGAGGTCATGGGGGAAAATGTCAGCTCAGGCCCTGGCGACCCCTCTGGCCTCTGCCCACGCTTTTCCGGGTGCGGGAGCTCCCCACTGTGGGTGGGAGGTCAGGCAGAGCAGGAGCCCAGCCCTGCACCTCACCACCACCGAATGTGATGCCCTGCTGGGCGGACAGGGCCGCCAGGGCATGATCATGACAGAACAACCATGAGCGGCACCCAAGGCTGGCGCCAAGAACCTTCTGGAAATCCACCCTAGCTTATGTTAAACTCCATGTACCTCTTGTGAAGTCGTGTCTGAGAATTATGAGAGTCAGTTGGTCCACCTTTATCAGGAGAAGGTGCTCCAGGACCTAGTACTCAAGATGCCAGAATCCCAGTTGAGAAATTTCCTGGGTGTGAAGAGGCAGAGAGCAGGGGCTTGCCGCAACCTTAAGCCCTGTGGTTTGGCGAAAACTTGGATCCTGCCTTTCTGGAGGAGGTTGACAAACAGTTCACCCTTGTGACTATGTCTAGTGGCATATGCTCCCCCTGTGGTGTACCCCGCAGCTGTGTTTGCTCACCAGATGTCCGCCAAGGGAGTGACAGTGACTGAATTTAACATGGAGACCACCCCAGCCATGAGCGGATTCACGTTTCATTTCCAGGGACCCTGTGGTAGGATGCTTCCTGAAGCCCTTGCTGGTCATGAAAATGAAACTATTTCTTAAGCATCCTGGGAAGAAAGAAATTATAGTATAACTAGGTGGTGAGCTACACATTGGATGATCCAAAAATATTCTGATTCCCTGGTTGGAATCCAACCTGTTGATAGGTGTTTAGGGCTCAGAAGTAGCAAGAGCAAAGGTATTTAGAAGTCAGAGAACTGTAAAGTGAATGCATGTTATTTGATTTGAACTGAAACATAAGAGACCTTTGATGTATTTAGTTGGTTATTGGGACCGAAAAATGTTGTAATTAGATTGTCTTTAAAAATGTAATCATCCTGATTATATTTTTCCTATTTGGGCAAAGATAGAAGTAGAGGGGTAAAATCCTGTTATTTAGCACAAGTTTTAATGGGAAATAAAATCATTCTCTACAGTAAGGTAACTACCTACTCATATAAAGATGTTACCCCAGGAACAAAAATTCTTTTTTTAACTATTACTTGTAACATTGAAAACATGTTCTTCCCTTTCTCAAGGTTAGTATTTGCCACTTGGATTTTAATAATTCCTTTGCGCACCTATGAGGAGCAACAATAAATGCAATACATTTTGAAGGAGAATTATCCTGGAGAATAACCAAGGTAGAGTATTTTCTTTTAGAACCAGATTTACTCCATTAGGGACTTCGGCAAAGAACTGGTTTTTAGGAAACGAATTCATAAAAAACTATATGGTAGAACCATTTGGGTATTTTCCAAGTGGTTGAGAATAATTGCTATGAAAATGAATAGGGAAATTTTAAATTAATTATTTAAAAAGGAGCCACTGAATAGATTTTCTAAGCTTGAAACTATCTATAGTACCATGAAATCATGTTTACAATTCCTTCTCAACAATGTGCTTCTCCTCTAGAAGCACATACATTGTTCAATAGATATTTGTTCAATAGTACTTTGTGGGAAAAAAAATCACTAGATTAAGAGACTCCCCTGAACCACTCCCAAGTTTAAAAAAAAAAAAAAAAACTCTCAAAAGCAAGGATATGTATACTTTATTCCCTCACTCAAAAAATTATGTTCAAATATAAAATTAATCTCTAAAAACTCCCTTTTAGGGGAGTCTCTCAAATATCATTCCTCCCCTTATCTTTCATTCTGCTCCCTATTGCCTATATCCAGTATTTCAGAATATAGGAAGAGACGGAAGGCAGAGGCTTGCTTTTCACCTGCTTCCTCTTGAGACAGCAACACTGTGACCATCTTCCTCAAAGATGCCTGGAGTTCTTCTGGATGTCAGTCCAGGAAAGACACAAAACAGCTCTGCATTGCAGAGACCCCCCTAAAACACCTCCCTCCCATATTGGATAATTTCAACATGGCAGGGACACCCATGTGTGAAGTTCTTATTGGAAACCTTTAACAGATATGGTTTAAATTTTAATACAATGGGCAATGTTTTGTTTTCTAGTGAGACAAATTCTTACAGCTGATTGCATGCAGGAAAAGCTTTATTAAGTCAAGAAGCGGTTACACTTTTTAGAACTGCTATGCAGAATACTCAAACATTTTTAAATGACATAGGAAACTACTAACATCTTTAGTGAGAGAATTCCACTTTCACAATTTTCCCTGCTCCCAAACCCCTAATGATCAGCTATAGCATATTCATTTTTTAATACAGTAAATGTCACGCAGCAATTTGTCAAAAGCTTTTGTTGTGAAAACACTTTTCTTAATTAAATACACAATTAAAAGATATGATTAAACACTTACACGATGTGAAATGTTTAAAGGTAATACACAATAATAGGGTTACCAAAAGGACATCTTCCAATTTTTCTTTCTATGCATTTTGATGTTTTGTTCTTTTCAAAACATTTTCTCTTATTACATTTATTACTAAAGGCCTTACTTCAAATACATCATGCTACTTTTGTTCTCCTCTTCAAATGCCAGTCTTTTAACAATTTGAATTCTCTGGCCTGGGAAAAAGAAGTTATCCACTTACAAGGTATATTTATTGACAATATGGATGTTACCGTCCAAACAGCACAAAATCAACCATGTACATGTAACACGGTGAAATGAGTCCACGTTTTCTACACACTACAGGATAGGAAGAGCTGGCTCTTAAGGCCCGGGGCTCACATGATTATGCACTTGTCAAGCAGCTTCTCAGTGGTGTTGGGCATCTGGGATTTCTTCTCGGGCTCCTGGAGGTCGGTGGTGGGCTGCTGCTTGTAATTCAGCAGCATGTGGAACAGCTCATGCACATTCATATCTGTCTTGGCCGAGATCTCCATGAAGGCGCAATTCCACTCCATCGCACAGGTGGCACCATCATTCAGGGTCACCTCCCGGTGGATGTCATCACTTTTATTGCCTACCAGCACGATGGGGAACTTATGCAGGTTGTTACCTTTGATCTTGCGGATCAGCTCATAGAAGGCCTTCAGCTCTTCCAGGGTTTCCTTCTTGGTGACTGAGTAGACCAGGACGAAGGCGTGGCCCCGGGCTATAACGTGGTGCTGCAGAGCGCGGTTGCCGTCGCCACTCTTGCTGTCGGTGATGTGCAGGGAAAGCACACCGTGGCTGCAGCCCAGCAACTGGCAGTAGGTATTTTCAATGGTCGGCAGGTACTCATGACGGAAGTTGCCGCTCGCCCACTTGTGCAGCAGCGTGCTTTTCCCCACACCAGCGGTGCCGACTACCACGACGCGGTAATCTCTGATCCTCCTGTGGGACTTGAAGGCGCGGAGGATAAGCAGGGCAGGCAGAAGCCGCAACCGCTGCAGCAGCTGCTGTTCCTTGGAGCCAAAACTGACGTTACCCATCGTTGGGATTCGGAGGGGAGATACGCACAAGTTCTCCCACACTTAGCTGGCAGCAGGAGACTGACTCCCTAGGAAGAAAGTGAGACGGTGAGAGATGGTAGTGGTAACCTACAATGTTGTCAGATGACGTCAGCCTGGCCAGCTGCTCCACTAGGACTCTGGAGAGAGTCACCCCGTGACGCAAAGGGGTGCACACGGCGAAAAGAAAATTCCCAGGCGCAAAGTTCAGCCTGCTAGACCGAGGGACCGGCAGGTGATATATATTCAACAGACCTGGTGGTTTGCTTTTTACCATCTAGAAAGTGCAACAATACTACCTTTTGTTTTCTTTCCTTTAACTGTTTTATTAAATTCTCACTACACCCCTACAAGAAACACTTACTCTCATTTCCTCGCTTGTAAAATGAAGATTTTAATTGAAGAGGGCTGAACAGTCAAAGAGAAACAGGTGGGGGAATTTTCCCCACTCTCCGGGGCTGAATGCCAACGTGACATTTAGAGTGACACCACCACCCTGGTTAAAGCTACAGAGTCATCAGTACAGGGGAAAGGAGGGGTGTTTGGCATCAGTGGTGTGGGATGTAGAGAGGGGAGGCAGCTGCAGTCAGCACAGCCCCAGAAGAGGCATGGGGAGCACCTTTGCTCTGAGCATGCTGTCACCATGTGCCACCAAGAGCTGAGGGAGGGGTCTTAGTTCATGAATCCTTAGTCACAATGACAGTGAAGTGTATATATATATATATGTATGTACTTTTCTTTTCAGTATCTCATCTCTGCTTAGAAAACATTCTAAATATTGAATGAGTTTTTCTACAAAACAGTGGTTTTTCTTTTGCCATGGCTACTACCTTTAACAGAGTAGTTTTAATTCAGCCTTATGGAAGTAGAGGAAATTTCAGGATTTGAACAGTCCATGAACTTTTTGAGTTCCGGAAAAAACACAGTAGAATAGGTTTGTAAGAAACTTTTCTCAGAGGTATATCCTCAATACCAGACAGCTGCCCAGGGGGACTGCTTCAGAAGCATCCTAGGTCAGATGGAAAAAGTTCTAGGCACCATGCAGACAGACTGCATAGCTGGCCTCTGGACACAGATAGGAAAAGTACAAGGCAATGTCATTCCTCTGGCACTAAGTATAGAAATTTCTACGTGTTTCTATGTGATGATGGTCCTGAAAATGCACTTCTCTTCAGGTACAGCTGTGATTGTGTCATGTACAATACCAGAAAGAGAAGAGACGCTTTTTGTATATAGCACACTCCCTATATAAACTAGCCTTTCTTGCTGGCTGCGTAGTTGAACACATACTGCCCCAGTACTGGGGAAAAGGACCCTTTTTAGAATGTGCAAGGCCATGAGAGTAATATGTCCGTATTAGAGTTTTGGTGGTGATTTTTTTTTTTTTTTTTTTTTTTTTTTTTGAGTCAGGGTCTTGCTCTATCCCTCAGGCTGGAGTGCAGTCATGCGATCATGGCTCACGGCAGCCTCAACCTCCTGGGATCAATCAATCCTCTCACCTCAATCTCCCGAGTAGCTGGGACTACAGGCATGTGACACCATGCCCGGCTAATTTTCTTATTTTTTGTAGGGATGGGGTTTCACTGTGTTGTCTAGGCTGGTCTTGAACTCCTGTGTTCAAGTGATCCTCCTGCATCGGCCTGCCAAAGTGTTGGGATTACAGGTGTGAGACAACATGCCCACCCCATATTAGAGTTTTCGTTTGAAAAAAAAATGTTGTTGCTGGTTGTTATATCTTCAGACTTACTTGCTTCTAATTCTAGTCTGGCTTCTTTAAGATAGCGTGATTCTAAGAGTATTCTAAACTTAAGTGGCAAAATTTAAGTAAATGATTTTATATTCTTGATTAAAGGGGACCAGGGATGTTAATACAATAAGTATTTGAAATTGATACAAAATAAATACATACATATGTCTAAATCATTCATTTTTGCAGCTTTCAGGTAAAATCTAGCACTTTGTTCCAGTCTATAAGATGTGGTTAGTTGATATCATCTAATATTAAGTAATGATATCAGCTATCCAAATCCTGGACACAATTCCTTTAGCAATGATGACCTTTAATAAAATTTAGCTTAAAAAACTAGATTTCTGCTACAGTGATGCAATCTTTCACATCTTATTTATTGGCAAAAATCAACAATCCAGCTTTCCTTAGGTCCTCATGCACTAGAGTTCTCTAGTCACAGAAATTCTAGCCCTGTCTGCACTGCCCACAACTATTATAAACTCCGCGTTAGTATCAAGAGTTCCGGTAAAGACCAAGTATCTCTTGGCCACCAACATCCCACATTAGGAAATGTGCATTACTAATTATTCTGTTTTACATTACTTCCTGCTATAGGGGATGTATGTACAAATTTATTCATAGAAAATTGGTAAAGCAGCCAGGCGCGGTGGCTCATGCCTGTAATTCCAGCACTTTAGGAAGTCAAGGTGGGAGGATCGCTTGAGCAAAGGAGTTCAAGACCAACCTGGCTAAAGGGAGACCCCCGTCTCTATCAGAAAGAAAATAAAAGAAAAAGAAAATTGGTAAAGGACACATGTGATAACTGAAGTTTCCAGATGTGAAGAGAACTCTCATTCTTAGGCAGTGGACCCCCCTCCCCCCAGCACTCTTTCCAGCTTCCCAGACCACCTGGCCTCAGGCTGAGAGGGAGGTGAAAGCTTCCAGGAACCGGAGGGCGTCCAAACCCAACGGCCCTGCGGCGCTCAAGGTCCCGCCGCTGCTGCTGCGGTACCAGCCTGGCTCATGGACATCACCACGCATCTGCAGGGTCAGGTTTCTCTGGTGGCTGTAGTAGCAGCTACCCTCCTCGTCCATCTCAATCTTACTTTCACACTACACGACTCCACTATTATTTCCTGAATACTAGCTACCTAAGCAGCTGTAATAGTGGACACTATGTCAACCTTTAAGCTCGCACACTTAACCAAGTCTCGTTCTTCTATATTAAAAAGTGCTAGCTTCCCAACGGGACTATCCAAAGTGCAGTTGCAAGACCTGCCACGAGCCCGCAGGGGCTGCGAGTGGCTGCGGGTGGCTCTTGCATAATCGCGCCAAGAAAGACGTGGTACCAGCTGTAGGGACAACTCGCCCATAAACTTCCACTGGGGACAGCATCTGCTGGTTTGTCTGGTACATGTTGTTTTCAAGTACCCCTAAAAAAGCGAAAGAAAGACTTACCTTTCTCGGAGGCACGAACCACGCAGCCTAGAAGACAAATGCGCTGCTCGCAGAGGCTGCCGCGACAACCAACTGGACGCCCCGAACGCTCAATCCTCCGAGGTTTGATTCCGACTTGCGCACAGGAGCGGGGTGCGGGGGCGCAGGGAGTGTCGGTAATAGGCATAAATTCCGCTTGCGCGATGCGTGGTGAGAAACTAGCCGGGAGGGGCTGGCCCAACGCAGAGCGGCCCGAGGTCAGCTTGGCATCTGCAACACTCGAGTGGCTAGTCCAGAAGTTCAGGGTGGGCTTACAGGTTGGGGAGGAACTGTTAAACTGTGGACTTTTTCTCACCTGTTGGAATAAGCTTCAGGCAAAACTTTGCCAACAAAAACCGGTCCAACTGATTTTTGACGAAGGTCCAAAAGCAGTTTAATGCAGGAAAGATAATCTTTTCCACAAATAGTACTGGAAAGATAGGACATCCATAGATCCCCCCGCCAAAACAAACAAACAAACAAACAAAAAACCCGTAAATAAAAAGTGGCTAGACATAACTGTAACGCGTAAAATTACAAAAGCGTTTTAAAAAACAACAAACTCTTTATTGCCTAAGGCTAGGCAAAAGGTTCTTACGTTGACATTAGTGGCATGACTAGTAAAAAGAAATTTTGATGAATTAGACCCCATACATTTTGCTTTGTGAAAGACCCTGTAACGATACTGAAAAGGTTTACCTAGGAGAAAATGTTTACAAGCCACGTATCTGGCATAAAACCAGTATCTAGAATATGTAAATAACTCAAAAGTCAATTGTTTTAAAAAATTCAATTAGAAAATAGGAGACATGAAGAGACATTTCACTGAAGGTATGCAGATAGCAAATAACCATATGAAAACCTTTAATGTCATTAGCCACTAGAGAAATGGGAATACATGGCTTTCGTTATTCCTCGCCTACCACTAGGGCGGGTTGAGGGTCTGGCTCCAGTAGCCCCGGGTGCCTCTCACTCCTTGGGCGCACAGCTACTATCCTGACAGAACCCTCGCCGAACCCTCGCAGGACGCCCCATCGGGTCCGCCAGCAGCTAGGAATACCGCCCCGCACCTCCCACCACCAGTCCCTTTTCCAAATGCGCCTGCGTCTGCCCTCCACGTCTCCGAGCCGGTCTGGCTTTCTCCCTTGCCTGTGAGCGCCTGGCGGCGGATGTATTGAAAGCTGCGCACCACCGCCTACCGAGCGTTCAGGGGAGTGTATGGAAGTTGTTGGCTGCAGGTTTTGACAGCAGCACCCTGTGGGCCTAGTCCTTGGCGGTGGCACCTGGTTTTGTGTGCCCCAGCCAGCTGAAGCCAGGGTGTGTGGTGTGGGGCCGCTGGTACTGCTCTTCTGCCACTATAATCCCTCCCCCTACCAGGTACCTGGTGCATAGAAGTTTAAAGACCTGTGAGGTCTAGCCTGGCGCCTGTAATCCTAGAGAATAAGGAGGTTGAGGCCAGGAGTTAGAGACCAGCCTGGGCAACATGGGGAGAACTTGTCTCTACTTTAAAAAAATTTAGCCCAGTGTGGTGGCTGCCACTTGTCGTCCCAGCTATTTGGGAGGCTGATGTGGGAGGATCACTTGAGCCCAGGAGATCAAAGCTGCAGTGAGCCGTGATCACAGCCACTGTACTCCAGTCTGAGCAACAAAGTGAGAACTTGTCTCAAAACAAATTCTAACTTGATTCTGGTATAGCATCTGGTATAGCATGACAGGTAGCAGCCCAAAAGGAGATCAAAGTATTTTACCCCAAAATATATTTCTGACATATTTTGGAATGGTCCTGTGCAAAGCTATCTTTTGTGAGGGAAATTTGCATTCTGTGGAGAATCTCCTTCCCTTTCCAGGTCTTTTCCTGATGCGGGAGGGATTTAACTAAGAGTCTGACACCTTTTAAGGTCATTTACCTTTTGAGATACATATACCATCTATTCTTTCTGAAGCATATTACAGGCTTCACATATGTAACAAGAACCCTGGCTTCCGCAACCTCCCTCCTGCCATCACTGGCCAAACCCTTCCTCCTCCAAAATGTCCTGGCTTCCCAGGTCAAACCAATGTATACCTTACATGTATTGATTGATGTCTTTGCCTGTATCTTCTGTCTTCCTAAAATATATAAAAGCAAACTATAATCCAAACACCTTGGGCACATGTTCTCAGGACCTCCTGATGCTATGTCACAGGCCATTATATAGGACATCCATAGATGTCGTATATATAGTGTCACAGGTAGTGTCACCACATATAGTGTCACAGGTCACTTATATTTGCCTCAGAATACACCTCTAAATATTTTCCAGAGTTTGGCTTTTTTCATTGGGTTTCCCCATTCATTTTGTTAGCATTAGCTCATACCCTTTTCGCCCAATCATATTTCTACGTGGCTGTCTCTATTTTGTTAATCCTAAGTTAAAAATAGACAATTTCCTCTATATGTTTGGGTCATCGTTCTGCAGGCTCCCATGTATACATATTAAATACATTTATATGATTTTTTTCCAATTAATCTGCCTTTTGCAGGTTGGTTTTTCAGTGAGCCTTCACTGAAGTTTCCCCTTGGTCCCCACATTGATAATTAACTCAAACTGTTTTACCAAAATTTGATTCATAGCCTTTATCTCATTTTTCCAGAAAAATAATTTGGATCCAACTGTTTTCTATAAACCAGCAAGTTGATATGTTTTACTATCTCACAACTAAAATTCTAAAATAAAAGCTAGAAGACCTTTATGTGTATATCTATTTGTTTAAATGTATTTACACATATGTACATGTATTATGCTGTATGTTATGTCTACATAATAAAATTCAGTGTAGTAGGCCAAAAATCCCTTAAGAAATGTTAATCTGATTGGTTTAAATAGATGAGCGCTCATACAAAATATATAGTAATTAACCTAATTTTTTTAGTTCATGTGACTTAAGTAAATCTTTTTTACTTGGTTTTTAAAATTGTAATTGGTTTTAAAATTATTGATAAAAATAAAATTAAAAACGTCCTTCTAATTGTCAATATATATTTTTGCCTGTGTTTACTGGTGTGAGGGCCATGGCTCTTGGCCCCCCAAACATTTGCTGGAAAATCACTGACATGGGCCAGATTGATTAGTAAGAGAAAAGACATACAAATTTATTCAATGTGTGTACACAGGAGCTTTCAGAATAAAGACCCAACTACTCAATGAGTTATAGAGGCTTATGCACCAGGCTTGAAATTACAGAAAGGATGGGGGACTTGGATTCTGCGAAAACAGATTATGGGAGGAGAAGAGGAATTTATTGAGGGGCAATGAATGATTGGTGAGAGAACAGTTGGATTGAGGAACAGATATTAACTTGCAAATGGTTTTTTTGGAATTTAAATCATCCTTGGAGGCAGTCATTGTACTTCTGTAAAGGTCTGCTTGGGTGTGGTCACATCTTGGTCTTCTTTTCTGTAACAGATGAGATAACAGGAGGAAGAGAACCAACAATTGTTCTCCTTAGTGGGTCTGGTTCTTAGGCAGATAAAGGAACTTCAGCTTCTTTGGAAAGGATGGTGGGGGTAGAGGAAAGGTCAGAGAGACCTTGAGGCTTCTTTAGTTTCGCATGTTAAATACTGTGTTTTGGTGTATCAGTTTCTGAGCACAAGCACTGGTCAGTTTTATATTTGCCTATGCTATTAAGGTCATGAAGCTATAAACCAGGCCTAAAGCAAAGTGATATTTGTTTATGCAATTCTTTGATAAGTAAGATTAATTTAATATTATACCTGTAATGTCAACACTTTGAGAGGCCAAGGTGGGAGGATCACTTGAGCCCAGGAGTTTGAGACCATCCTGGGCACCATAGCAAGACCCCATCTCCATAAAAAAGTTAAAAAATTAGCCGGGCATGTGCCTATGATCCCAGTTACTTTGAAGGCTGAGGAGGGAGGATCCCTTGAGCCCAGGTGTTCAAGGCTAAAGTGAGCTATGATCATACCACTGCACTCTAGCCTGGGCAACAGAGTGAGCCTTTGCCTCTAAGGTAAAAAAGGAAAGTTATATCTTCTGAGTTATCTGCAGATACCCATGTATTTAACTTTATGGCTCTTATGTGGGTAAACACCTCATGTTAACAGGCTATATAATTATTTAATAAAAAAAAAAACTTGAAATAATGAACAGCTCCATCTAACATCTCAATTTTTGTAAGAAATCTAGGTATAGTTGTTAAAAAATAAATTAACTGTAAATGAAATAAATGTTTATAAATGAACTCATGTAATTTAAAGTCTTAAAATTTATGTTAAATTAAATAATATATTCAAAATAAATGTCTGATCATAGTCAAATAAGAAAAATGATTGGTTATCCCACATTTTAAAAAAAAGAAAAATTATAGGACTAAGAGGTAGGGGTTAGGAAAATAAAAGGTCTAAAGCTGAAGAGGACTTATAAAGGATGAGCTAATAAAGGGAGTTTTATGTGTTATTGACTTGGCTGGAATTAAAAATAAATTGTGTGTTTTTCTAAAAATTAAACATTGTTGGGTAGGGGGCCGGGGGGATGGGCACTGATACAGAACTAGAATCTGGTTCCTTATATTTAAAACAACAAGAGTTCTTGAAATATTGATCTGATTTTAATAAAATTGTAAGGGGTTTTGATTTTTAAATCTATAATCTGTTTTTAAACAGGTATCTTCTCCTTGAGATCTATTTAATTTTCCTGGTTTCGGGTTAAAAATATTGTCTTCTTGATTTAAAGTGGTAATTTCATTCCTTGAGGTAGTTTTTTTTTTTAATTTCTCAAATTCATATTGCAGAAGTTCATCTTTTGCAGTTTCTTGCTGCACATGATTTGCAGGTCAATATGTCATTTCCTTCAGTTTTTTCTCCCCTGGAGAAGGCCTGAGATGATCATTCTCCTGTTTGACTTTTTCTGGTTCTAACATTGCTGTTTTGGCCTGACATTAAATATTTACCTTGAAGGCCTAGAAAAGCAGCGTTTTTCTACAGTATAACTTAATTTTGTGCTCTTGGCTTTTCTTAATATATCTGAATTGTTCCATGTAACCAGAAAAGTTACTGTGGTAAGTAACAGCATGCTGTTACTAAGAACCATGTATTTCCCTGCTCAAGGTACTAGTTTTCTTGTTTATATTCCTCTAGTGTATACTTATAACCTTGGACATATTCTTCCTGTGTTTCATGACATTCAAGTACCCTTTTCATCAGGTTCAACTTCCAGGTTATCAGAATGAGCTTCCCAAAATGAGAAACAATCACACTGAAGAGGGCTTTCTTTACGTTTTTGGTAGTGAGTCTAAGAAACAAAGATTTTATGGTTTAGTAAACTGACTTTCTATGTTTCCTTTATTAGGCTTTTGATTACTTAGAAAAAAATGAGTTTTAACAGGGTTAAGGTTTCTAAATCCATGTGACTTTCTTATTGCTTTTGAAGTCTTTTGATTATGACACTGGTTAAATGAATAACTGTTCTTTCACAGCAACCTGTGATTCTGTTTTGAATCTTTTGACATCTTTGACAAATGCCTCCCAGGTCAAATCTTATGTTAAGTCCTTTGACCTAAAATTAACTTCGAGATTTTTCAGTTAGGTTCCTGGAAAACCTTAAAAGACATATTTCTCATTTTGTAGAGATGATGAAGCTTATTTGATAAATTGTATAAAAACATTGTCAAATAAGTGGTACTAGATCGTCTTTGAGTTACATTTATGGACATGTTGATATGAAAGTTTTGAAACTTATATAAATTCATAGAAATCTAATATGTTATCAGTCATAACCCTAACATAACCTTTTGTTCAAATTATACTCATCGTCCCTTTTGTAGAGCTGGGCATTCTCTGCTATAATTCAACTCAGTCATAAAATGTTACTCAATGGCTACAACAGGACTCAAGACTCAACCAGTTTCCCACATGGTCTTTTGAATTCTTTAGTTGGTTACCTTCAACATTAGGTTTATGGTTTAGCACCAGTATTTAGACCAGTCTGATTATATTGGCAGGTTTGTGTGTGTGTGTGTTATGATTTTTAAACTTTTTTCTTACTACCTCACTAGTCTTTGTAAAGCCAGCTCTCCCAACAAGATTATGTTAGCTCAGCAAGATGACTGACTAGACATAGCCAGGTAGAACAGCTTCTACCAAGGGACAGAGACAGCTGGTATACTCTTAAC